TATATTGGTTGTTCAAACTTTCCTTATCAATGGCATGATACGTCTTTACGAAGTTTCTTTAATGAAGATTCATACGGGTTTGTGCTACTATACGAGCATGTATCACGATGCGAGTTCTAAACCTGGAAAAATGTTTGTTATGCAGACTTCTTAATCCAAAACGAGCACATCCTCAAAGATGTGCATGCTATCGAGCTGGGGTGCGGTTTAGGACTGGTGGGAATGACAGCGTGTCTGTTTGGGAAACCAAAGCAGTACTCATTTACCGATCGGAGCGCAGTCGTATTGTCCACACTGGCCAAAAACCTCAAGCTGAACGCAGTGAACTATACAGCGGCAGAGCTACCCAGTGATACACAAGACGAGAAAACGTAAGAATATCAAACACGTGAAATTTTAGTAGGCATGTGTGTCGAGGGCTAATTGAAAACAGTTTGACGTGAGGCTGCGGTGTTGTGAATATTACATATGACATGCAAAGTCATATGCGCTTGCTCTTTCTGTGAAGTTCCCATCATACTTCGGCTATCTTCTTTTGCTGGGTTGAAAGTGCTCTGTTGCTTATCCACTCTTGCGTGTGCAAACACTGATGCGTGCAGATCTGCCGACGATTCTCATGTCACTGCCGTGCGAACCCCGGTCGCTAACCTCCGATTCTTAGATTGGGTCGAAGCCTCGAACGATGAAATTGCCGAGTACGGTATGCGGAGTGCCTTTTCTGTTATACTTTTTAGCATTTGTAATGTCGATTTCTAGCTTTAAATCGCAATACGACTCGCACCTGCAAACTGATGGCCTGAAATAGTACTAATTTGGGATTTCCGGCATCCGAGCAGACGCCGATTTGTTCCTAGCTGCTGATGTGGTGTTTGATCCGGTGATAATTGAGCCGTTGGTGCGAGTCATCTCGGTTTTATTACGAAAATCTAGTTGTTACGGTATTATATCGTGCACTATCCGGAATCCTGAGACGTTTGAACTATTCATCAAAAGTTTGGGTAAGTATTGGGCAAACAGTCATGCCGTTTCATTCTATATCGCGTGCAGGTACTTCAAGCCTCCAAATTTCTTTGCCTGTTCCGGCCCATGTCAGTTCTTGGCAATTTCTGAAATTCTTCATTTCAATTTTTCAGATTCAGCTGATGTACATATCGAGACATTGGATCATACGCCATCGAACATATACTTCTACGATAGAATTGCGGAAGTCCGAATACTCAGACTTACTAAATCTCGAGTACATTGAGGCACTTCGAGACGCAGGTTCGTGATCGTGAACTATCATTGAACCAACGTGACGACTACGCGGCATATGGCAAGTGGCATATCGCCGTGCTATTATGCCATTAGATGGTAAGCGGGAGTATAATAGCCCATTCCACCACAGAAGCAGGCTAACAGTACTCAGGCCATATATCTCAAGGCAGTTCCTTATCTACCCACCCGAGTTCATACTCGCGTTGGCTGACTTTGGGGTGCAGACCCCTGCTTTGTGCGTCGCTGCAACGTGAGAACATCTCTTTTAGATCCTCCAGCACCTTCGTTTGCGCCTCTTTCGAGTGCGAGCCCCCGATGTCCACAAATTGGAGAAACCCATGTGCGGCCTGTAAATGAAACAGTTCACTCGTTAAATACAACAATGACTTCGCGCGAATTTGACGCTGCGTGACGATCTGTATATAGGCCCAATTTGTTTTTGAAATGGGATAATGTGAACAGGTATTGGATTCAGAACACAGACCATTAGTTGTGGCGCTGCCATACCTTGTCCACAATAGTCATTTTAACTTCACCCCCAGCGTTGCGAAGCTTCCGAGCGAAATCAACAGCGTCGTCGAGTAGCTGTGTCGAATGTGCACAGATACGAAGAAGTAGTGTTAGCCTAGCACTCGATATGTGGCACACTGTCACAAGCAGAAATCGAATATACGGCAGCCCCTTTCAGATCACGGGCTGGAACAAACACATTTTAAACATCACAGTGTAACCTTACCGGGTCGTAGTTCCCCGAAACTATATAGATTGGAGGAAGTTTGCTCAGAAGCTCGTCATCGGCGTGCCACGGTGACAAAAGGGGATCGACAGTATCCACAACCACACGTCCAACGCCACTGCCGACACCCCCACCTGGAGTGTACGCGTCGAGACAGTCCTCCAGTATACCGAGCGGCAATAATATATCACTTGCACTGTTTGACCGAGAATAGAAGCTACCGTGTCAGATATCTTACAAGCCATCACATGGGTGAAATTGAATTGGATAATTGATAAGGCATTTCTCAAACGTTGAAAGAACTTAGAAGGTAAGAAAAATCTCACCTTAGCAGACGAGCCGGCGAGGGATACATTCGTACACAGAGAGCTGGATAATTAGCCTGGATTGCAAAAGGAGCAGGTAGTCCCTCCTTAACTATTTTCAAACCCAGTGCCACAACCAGATTGCCACCAGCGCTGAAAACATTCAAGCTTATTAGTATCGAATTTCTGGTACCGGAAAAACGATCGTTTGCGCCTTGTGACATTTTCCGAGCAGTAAAGCGCAATCAAAATACCTGTCCCCGGAAAGGCAGATTTGACCAGCGGAATATCCTGCAGGTACCATATATGCGATATTTGATGGTTTTAGAATTTTGCATGTTCAATTCCTTGCAGCATCAAGATCGGCAATCGAAGTCAGAGATGCAACAGACAGAAAGATAATAAGTTGGTAACGTACCCATTTTCTCGGCGTGTGATATGATCCAAGAGTATGCGTAAAAACACTCGTCCAAAGCCGAGGGAAATGGATTTTGAGGGGCCAACTGTCCGGTTTAGGGGAAAAAAAGCATCAGTAACTCGCCAGAACCCTTTTTATCGACAATTTGCATGCGCAATGAATGAGATAAAAAGTACCTACCGAGTAGTCGATGCTGATGATCATGATATTCAGCTCTTTCGCCCATCGCTTCAAGTATACTTGGTGAGAACGGCTGCGACATAACCCATATACAGATGTTAAAAAAACAAGAATAGGGATTGACAAGGTAAATGCCAACACACTGAAACAGGTTCATTTGAGACGGTAAAAGCGGAATCCACAACACCTCACGAGGCAATTTGGACCGAGGAAAGATGTCGTTGCAGAATCGAAATCTCCGCACTCAAGCCCTGCAACAATTGCAGTATTACTTTTCTATCTTACGCATACCGTCGCGGCTATTTTAAGGCTATACCAAATAAATCGGCTCGGATGCACTGTCTCAAACACAGAGCCTTTGATTAACCAAGAGGATGGCCACAGTGTCGCAACGTGCCGGGATAATGTTTTACAGAGTACCAACTACTATAAAACTGTATCACATCCATTCCGTCATGTTGCGAGAGAGATAACATCCCAATTTCGAATCTGAACGAATTCCGCGACGATGACGTATATTGCAAGCTTACCTTGTTTGAGCCACAAACCCTGGGTCACAAAGGAAGGAGAATATATATATCATTCAGCTAGATTTCTAATAAAGCCCATTCAACGTGTGTAGAAAACGCAGTTACAGTAAACATACGGAGCCAGAATAAATAGGCGTGGCAGATGCATACCTCCTCCGTGTATGTGAAACAAAATGCTTTTCACGCCGGGTTCTTCGTTGAGAGTTCCAGCTAAAGTCTCAACTCTGGACCATCAAATAGTTGGAATTGGACAAGTGTTGGTAACAATTAGTATGAAATAGATTGTTGTTGCCAGCAGACGGTAGTTGATATCTCAATCTCAAAAATGCGAAAACGTAAGCGGTACCATGGTAAATAGGGACAGCAACACAGAATTACATACTCTTCGCACTCAGTAGGTGGCCGCATCCCTTTGGACCAGATCACCGGCACTTTCCCAACTTTGGACTGGAACCTCAGGGTGAGCACAGCGTTAAGCGGCCATTGATGAGTGACATGTGATAGAAACCGGAGGTTTGTTTATCTGGAGATATCTATTAAAGTACTTCACATGGTGCATTGCACTATAGCATGCACGAACACCGCTCCAATCTAAAACATCAAGACTGAAACGTATGCTAGGTAGTATCACTAAATAATGGAATGGTTGAATTTGGTTTTAAGACATACCTTCAGCTTATTCCTGAACTTTGTCGCAAATTTGTTATGGGAGGGAGTCGACCGAATAATCCGCAAGGGCACGGATCTGTTGGCTGGCACAGGGATGTTGATCACTTCCATATTCGCGTCATCGTCACCTGCGACTTCCACTGAGTCCGGCACTAGTACAACGACGCGGCAAAAAGTAAAACTTTGACTACACAGCACAAAATATTCATCCTGAGTTTCGTTGACATTGTCACGGTGTCATATTTGTTTGCACTCTACGGTATTGAAAGTGCATTTTTTTCACGGAATGATTTGTTGGTAATGGCACACAAAATCATGGTAAATGATACCCACGTTCGCATAAATTTGCAATGATGCATGAGATGTATTCTGTGAGTGAATTATGCTGTTCCTTTCAAATCTTACACGCTCTTTAGGCACTGGCAAGCCCGTTGCTATTCCATCAAATTATACATTCATAACTGCAAACATATATATGTTGCACACTTCAGGGATACTCACGAATGTCGTTTTGGATAGTATCGACACCGCCAAGCAATTGAGGCGAATCTTGCATCGCCAGACACAGACGGAGACAATGGAAATAAACAAAACAAGAACCCACCAACTGGCATGTATGACCAGATACGCACCATATTCAAGAATGGGATGGTCGCCAGATTTTACATTTGTGGATTCCAGAGGTGAATTTTTTTTGATAGCGGGCTTCGAATATTTGAGGGTGAATTCTCGGCAGGAAAGCAGCAACCGTCGGCTTTCACCAACATATGGTGCTGCAACATTGACCGCTCCATTAGTCAAGAAGCTTTAGGGGTATGCATGATATTGTATTAGTTCTGAACATCAGGAGGCTATACACCTCAAATTTATGGGATTGCCAACATATATGGGCGCGCAACAACCCCAAAAAAAAATGCCCAATCGAAAATGATAGTGAAATGGGAGCCGGGGGTGTTCCAACCTTACCTTTCAGTCATATTCCAGAAGCTCTGCAAAAAACTTGTGTTGTGTGACTCGAACTGATAAACACACTGTGCTGCTCGCCTTTCAGAATCAGCGGCGAACAATGGAACACTCATCATTGTAGTCAGCCCGGTAAGCAAAGGTACATCTCTGTTGAAGACCTGCCCATGGTGCAAGTATAGATCCGGGTGAGAAACACACTTTGAAGTAAATGGACGGTTCGAGAAGTGTGACTTAAAAATACCTATTAAAATAGTAAGCATCACCGAATCTGGGATAAATGAAGCCAAAATTTGCTCCGGTCTGATTAAAAAGCAGTCAAAGCGCAGACGTACCCCACGGTTCGCGCTGTACGAGGCAGTGAATCTAAGCATAAACTCGAAAATTGCCCTGAGTGCGCCATCAAACTGCACGGCATTCATAGACCCGTAAAACGGTTTTTTATCCATATTCCGAAAGCGTACTAACAGGTCTCCCTCGAAATCGCTGAGTATAAGGCGCTTGTCTGGCCCGCTGTGAGTGTGGCATTCGATTGCCATATCCAGAATCTCCCCTTGCTGACAATGTATTCATATTAAGTTCAAGTCTCACTCAAATGAAAGTCTTACGAGTGCAGAGATCCTATATGGATCCTTCACCCTTAATGGGCATTCTTTGAAAATGATAATCTTTTACGCGCACATCGGTCAGCGCACACTTCAATTGGATACACGATTTTATACTCTAAAAGCGATGTCGTGAGAAATGACAAATAACACCACTTACACAGGTGAGAAGTCGATTAATAACCGGTAGGATGCGAGTAGGATGGATCTTCAGAGCCATCCTGCTAGTTACTACGTAGTCCATTACTTTCTGCACCTTCCGGATATATTTCAGAGTAACGGCGACAAGAGATCGGTATCCATTTCCCGGAGTGCTATTGTCAATTCGAGAAGCAAATTTTAGGAAGATGAAAAAAAATCAGTTGACAAGGCTTACAGATAGGCACCAGTAGCCACACGCCATGTACAATAATGCAACAGTCTTTGGTGGCTTCTGAACCGAACGAGGTACTATGGCGTTTAAATATATATACGTATGCATACAAATATACAAACACACACACACACACACACACACACACACACACACACACACACACACAC